GTGAGGGAGGCCGTTTTTGCCCTCCCCAGGCTCCAAGAAAGCCTCTGGAGCCTGGGGAGGGTGAAAAATGGGGCTACTGGGCCACCAGTAACTTTTTTGCCTTTGCGTGCCAAAAGCTGGGGGAACCCAAGGGGGTCGCGCATGCATGTGCGGAGGGCGGGGGGCACTGAATTATGGGTGGAGGTACCCATGTGACCCCCACACACACGCTCCACGCTTTTGGCACACAACAGCAAAAAGGTTAGCCATTACTGGTCTAGACATTGATATCTGAATACAGATCCTTCTAAAAAGCATATTTTATGTTTTATTAATCTAGGTGAAATATTAATATGGCAAATCCATGTATGATATGCCATATGCTAAATAAATGAACATTCCTCTTTATCCAAATAGTAACAACCTCCAGACAATCAGATTCTCAATAGAATCACTTGTTTAGCTAGAGGTCTAGATACACAATTGGGTGTCTGCATATTGATAATGCCTGAGCCCATGCCCATAGGTGATCTTAACCAGAAGCCTTATATAGATATTAAATAGGAACACGAAGTGTTGAACTCTGAAGAAACCATGAAAAAAGGCTCTCGGAGTCAATCGCTTCTTTCACTGACCCACTGAAAATAACCTCAAAAAAGGAGAACCGTGGAAATATTCTGACCCCGCTTTCAATCCAAGAAGTTGGAAGAGGATACCATAATTGACTAGTGCAAAAAATAAGTAGTGATCAAGCAATAACAGAAGAGTCACACCACCTCCGTACTGGTCAACCAGAGGTCACCATAAGCATAATTAATGCTATCTCTGTACTGTACAAGGCCTGAAACCTGACTGAAAATGCTCCAGATAATCTGCTTCTTCCAGAGCCCTTGAAATTACAGGCCTATTATCTTCTCTACAACATTTCCCAAATATTGCCATTCTTCTATTTTAAGTAAATTGTATTACTTTGTAATTATTCAAATATCTTAAACATGTTGTTTGCAATTAGTCTATTAAGATCAACTACAGTGTTTCCCCAAAAATAGGACATGTCCCAAAAATAAGCCCAAGCTGATTTTTGGGGTGGGCCTAAATATACGCCCTCCCCAAAAATAAGCCCCCCTCTCTCTCACACACAGGTCCCTCACCCCCCCAACCCTCCCAAGGCAACCACAACCCTGCGAACTCCTGCACCCCCCGTCCCTTCCGCTGCCTGCGGCAATGACTGTAGACCTCGAGTGCCTGCTCCTGCACCATAGTGGCAACCTGGCTATTATCGCCCCCGCGCCTAGGCACCGCGTCCGCATAGCCTGCATTACTGAGCATCCGCCACAGCAGCCACAGCGCAAGCATCGCCACCCCAGGGCTTCCTTGGCAGGGTGGCCACCGGCGGCAGAGAGGCCACCATGCGTGGCAGGCAGTCACGGAGGACTACCACAGCAGGCCTGGCACGTCCTGCAGCTGGGCGCAGGTCTCTCAGCGGGGATGGATGAGGCATCATCAAGCCTCAGGTCTCTCAGCAGGGATGGCTGAGGCACTACAGGTGTTGCTCCTACCATCGCCACCACCTGCGGAGGTCTGGCGGCCCCCTGAGGCCAAGCTCAGCCACAGGCGAGAAGCGTTGGCCATGGCTGGGCCAGCCGAGCCATGTGTCGGGGCTGCCCTCAGCATGGCTGCCCGGTGTCTCACTGCCAGGCACCTGGAAAGAGTAAATGGGACCTGCGGGAGGAAGGGAAGGCGGGCAAGGGTCCCACGAGGCTTCCTTCCCCAGGAAGACTCTGGCCTGGTTGCCATCCAGTCTGGTGACTCACAAGGCAGAGGGGCTTCCCAGGCTCACCGGCGGACACTCCAGTCAGTCAGCGCTCGGATAGGGGGGAACACGGGGCAATCGGAGCAGAGAGGTGCAGGGGGGAAGGGGAGGCCTCTGGCGATGGTCACCATAGCTTTTGGCTGCATGCAAGGAAAGCAGCAGAAGCAGCAGAAGTCTTTCTTTCTTTCTTTCCCCCAAACTCTGCCTCTGCAGCTTCCAAACCCCAGCCAGGGAGCGGCCGCTCTGGGAGTGTGCTTCCCACTCTATGGTGATGGCTGGAACCCAGGCTATGGCTTCCACACAGGTGCTGGTGGTGGGCGCTGGCGGCATTGGCTACGAGCTCCTCAAAGACCTGGTGCTTACCGGCTTTGCCCACATTGACTTGGTGAGGCCTGGGAGGCGCATGAGCAGGAGGTGGCGACAGGCACTCGCACAGCTTGGTTCCTTTGAGCTGCTTGCGTTCTACACACACACCCCATGGGAGGGGAGGGGCTTGATGGCAGCACGCGAAGGGAGCCTCTCTCTGCCGCACTCCCAGCTGTGGGTGCAGAGGCCGCCCGGAGCCTCCTGCACCCCCAAAATAATAAGACCCCCCGCTAATAAGGTCAAGCCCTTATTTTGGGGTTCAAAAGAAAATAAGACCCTGTCTTACTTTCGGTGAAACACAGTATCCCATTTATTATGCATATTCAACCCAAAAAAGTTTCACCTGCAATTTTAAATAGAGGGTTTTTTTTTTCAGTTTTGAAATATACTATATTAGAACCAAGTACTTGCAAGAGTTTCAAGGAAGACAGATACTAACTTATAGATAATAACCAACCAGATCCAAAAAATGATGTAAATTGAAATCTAGAAAATGTATATCAGCATTGTCACATGTAAGCTGAACCTTTAAGAGAACTAAGTGCCTGACTATGTCTCAAGAAATGTACCATTAATTTGTCAAATTGTTTAAAATATCTTAAGTGGAATTAACAAAGAAAACATGTTTATTTTTATACATTTATTCTCTTCAACTTGAAATATTATTCTCAGCTAAACAGGGCATTTCCTTAGAAATGACTGTTTCCAGAACAGAAAACAAAGCAAAAAGAATAATCATAAAAATATCTTTAGAAAGAAAAATCTACCTCTGATTTTCAGCAACAGATTGCTCATACATGTTCTTTGTCAGAATTTAAAATAGGCTGGACAAGGAAGTATTTTAAACAATATAATCAAATATTCTGGATTATTACTTATAATTGTTTTTCCAGGTCCCTTTTTTATTATTATAATTATTCATTACATTACATGATTCATTATAATATGCTAGTTCTGTTACATTCAGTTATGTGTTTATTTCATTAGGCTTATAGGCCTCTTTAACTGTGAATCTTGGAGCAGCATACTTCCCACCTTAAATCAATTCAAACAATAAAAACAGATTTCATCAAAATATCATAATCAACATATAAAGAACACTAGAAACAATCAATTCAACCAAAACCAAAATCTTCTATTGCTAGAGGTAACAAATATGCATGTTTACTTTCTCTTCTGTTAGTTAATAAAATAACGAAAAAGACCTTCTCATATGCCCTAATTCAAGTTTCAACCTTATAAGAAATTAACTTCTCTATTATTTATCTCATACTAGAAAATTCATTGTATATACTACCCCCCATCAAACACAGTCACTTAGTTTAATTATTGGGCATTTTATGAATATGTTTTCTTCATGTTATTGTTGTAACATATCTTCAGCATTTGTGAACTATTTTTAACCAATGTGGAATAAAATCAGTCTTTCTGTAAAACCTGGGAAGAATGTGTTTTTCAGTCCAAAGCATATCAGATCAGCATTGTTTTAAAAGGATATAAATCTTTGTAGAAAATATGAAAGATCAACATATACAGTATCATCAATACTGAAGCAACAATATGTTAGGACAAATATCAGAATCTGATTAACATAACAAGATTAACTTTCGCTTTGTGTAAGATAGATGCTGAAAACAATTGAACTGTATTAACCTGTCATTTTAATCCCTTACTTCTATAGAAAATACATCTGGTTAATTAATTATTTAAAGACAAATTTCACCGAGTGAATACAACAAATACCAAGAGCATCACTGAGATGTGTTTCTGAAAATCATTTTAGAACCAGTCTATGCATAAAATATTTAAAACATCAGAAACAGACTTTACAGATTTCAGTGTAGCCAATAAGGAACAAACAGAAGAGAAGTGACTACTGTTCATTAAGAACCCAGTTAAAAATTACAAAGGACAAATTGTATCTGTGGGACCCTGTCTGTTTGGAAGACTGCTCAGACTGTTCCTTGTTCACCTCTACAAAAGGTTTCCTGTCAAAAAAGAAATAGGACGGTTCAGAGCGATGATAACATGCAAAGTAGCTTTCCCCAGATCACTTTTGGAATCAACTTGATTAATGAAATTACATATGTGTATGAGTGCATTTATGTGCTAGTGTGTCTGTGCCAACAATAGCACAGATTTCAGTAATACATGCTATTAAATAAAGTGTGAGTGAGATTATGCTCATTATGATAGAAATCTAAACTTCCATAACTCTACCTAAACATACTTCTTCTCTTCTGCGTGATTTTATCCGATTCAGCTGCCATGCATCAAGTCCTTTCGTGCATGTTAACACCACAAGAACAGAGGAACAGCTGCGATGTTTAGCCAGCACTAACCTCAAGACCAAGCAGAAAAAACCAGGTACAGACCAGCCTCTCTCCAGCCATTTATTCCACGCACTCCTTCCTCCCTCTGCAGGAACCTGCGCATATACCGGTAGTACCATTCCGTCTTGCGGTCTAATGCAGTTTCAGATCCCATCCACCACACCCAGAACCCCTGACAGGATTGGATTTGTAGTCCCCCAAAAGCCAGACAGTAGCACTTCCAAACCGTCAGGCAAGAGAAGACCCACGCAGACAGACAGGCGTCCCATCTGCTAGAGTCATACGCACGTCAATCCACCCGCTCCCTCCAAGACCGGTCTTGGCGCAGCAAACGCAGCCTTGTCCCAAAAACGTGAGCCGAGGCATCCCGGAGAAGGGCCGGCGCTCCGGTCTCCAAAGCCTTGAAGCTGTTCTGCGGGGAGAACGCCTGCCGGCTTGCCTGCTCCCACCCCGCTGTGGGCGATACCTCCTAAGTCGAGAGCAGCCAACCACCCCGCTAGCCGCCTCACCGTTGGCGACACGAAGAACCGCTCCAGATGCCTGTATCGCCACTGCTGCCAAACGCTCCCCCGGCACAGAGAGGCCGCCGCCGCCGCCGCCGCCGCCGCCATCATGCTCGGCCGCGATTCTGTCCTCGGTGCATAGGCCGCCCTTTCACCTCGCGCTCCCTCGACCAATCAGACGCGCGCCTTCCCGGCGGCGCCCACAGGCCCACGCCCTGCCCCTTCGGTTCGCGCCTCGCCTGAGGGAGGCGGGGGCGGCGGGGGAGGCCGGTACGCTTTATCCCCGGAGGAGGTCCGGGCGCGTGGAGGCGGCGACGGCGACCGGCGTAGGGAAAACAGGGCTGGGGCTGCGGTGACCTTGGTCGGTGAGAGGTCACGAGAAGAGCCCTGTCAGTGTACTGTGTAGCTGGACCTAAAATCCTCTGGTAGGGAGTGAAAGCCGTGGAGGGAAACCTTGAGGGATGGAAACGACATTCCTTTCACTTTTGAAACGGGGGGGGGGGAGGTTAGGAGAAGTCTAGGGACCACGAAGGGACATTGTAGGTGCTTCCTCAGGGGAGGTTTTTAAGAAAAGACTGGACAGCCACCTCTCTTAGATGGTATAGGGCAGGGGTCTCCAATCTTGGCCACTTGAAGGCTTGTGGACTTCCAACTCCCAGAATTCCTCAGCCAGCTTTGCTGGCTGAGGAATTCTGGGAGTTGAAGTCCACAAGCCTTCAAGTGGCCAAGATTGGAGACCCCTGGTATAGTGTTTCCTGCTTGAGCAGGGGGTTGGACTAGAACAGGGGTCTACAACTTTAAACACTCAAAAAGAACCATTTGGACCCATTTCCCACAGAAAATAAAACACCGGGCGCCACAAAACGAGGGCTGAAATCCAGCAGGTTCTAACAGGTTCTGGAGAACCGGTAGTGGAAATTTTGAATATTTCGGAGAACTGGCAAATACCAGGTCTGGTTGGCCCCAGAGTAGGGTGGGAATGGAGATTTTGCAATATCCTTCCCCTGCCACACCCACCGAGCCACGCCCACAGAACCGGTAGGGAAAAATTTTGAATTTCACCCCTGCACAAAACCGTGCCTGACTATTTCTTGAGCGGCCACAAAACTAGCATATGTAGTTGAATTAAACGTTCTGTTTTCTTCTGAAACTTTTCTTTTCTTGGATTTATCCATGGTTGGCCTACTGGAGGCTGAAAAGCTCAATAATTGCATGCTGGCAGGTGTCACACATTGGTGGTTGTGATGCATATTTTGAGGGACAGGGAGCCGCAGCAGAGGGGTGAAAGAGCCACATGCGGCTCCAGAGCCACAGGTTGCTGACCCTTGGACTAGAAGACCTCCAAGGTCGCTTCCAGCTCTATTTTGATGGATGGAACTGATTGAGATGCTTTCCCTGCTACTCTGTGTGTTGAAAAATCACCTTCCTCCCAATTATGTTGGCTTCTTCATGACCAGATGCCCTTCAAGGAAATTTCTCGGTAAGACTATCAAAAGACATTGGACGTGTTTAGAGAGTCAGGTTTTTAAACACATTGTGATCCAATACAGCTCTCTGTCAATGGTGCATTGTATAGAATGAAAGTGGCAATTGGTCAGGTTTTTTTTTAAAGGCAGCAATCCTAATGACATACAAGTTTTTTATTATTAATTTGAGTTCCAGGTAATCATCCACTTACAACAGTTCATTTAGTGACCATTCAAAGTTACAACGACCCTGAAAAAAAGTGACTTATGATTGTTTTTTACACTTACCACCGTTGCATCCCCATGGTCACATGATCAAAATTCAGATGCTTGGCAACTGACTCATATTTATGATAGTTGTAGTGTCCCAGAGTCATGTGAACACCTTTTGTGACTTGACAAACAAAGTCAATAGGGAAGCCAGATTCACTTAACCGTGTTACTCACATAATAACTGGAGTTATTCAGTTAACTATGGCAAAAAAAGTCATAAAATGGAGCAAAATACACTTAAGAAACGTTTCACTTGGCAACAGATGTTTTGGGCTCAATTGTGGTCGTAAGTTGAGGACTACTTCTATTTATCTATGTGACTTGACTACCATCTCTCATGATTCTGGGGTCTTACAAAGTTAAAAACATGAAAACAATATAAAAATAACCAAAATTTAACAACAAAAGGTCAATGATTAACAATGATTAAGACCGTAAAAGTTCATAATCTACAATCACTGTCCGAAAGAGTACAGCCATTCTGTACTACCAAATTCCCAGGCCAAATGGCAAAGCCATGTCTTTAGGCCCTTCCAGAAAGCCAGTCAGTTGGTTCATGCACACTAAACTGGGAGGGAATTTATTTGGTCTTCTTGTAGAGCCCTTGTGATTTGTAAATCACAGTTTACAATTTAGGGCATTTTGCAAATCCAGCAGAATGTCTTTAAAGCGTGCAAATTTTTGACCAGTATGTCATAAGATGAGCCTTACAGGCAGTAAAAGCAAATTTCCAAATGTTTCTTCCAGTGCAAATATTAAAAGTTAGAATGCATTCATACTGCAGATGAAGGTGGGCAAATTGAAGAGAATAGAGGTAAACATGGCATGCTTCTTTGGCATGAATAATCATTAAAAACAAAGAGAAAATCAAAGAACATGTGAAAAGTTCAGTGCCTATGCAATCCATAATAAGCAAGAGAAGAAAAGGAAGGGATGAAAACACTGCGCAGCATGTGGATCAAACAACATCAGCAGTACATGCCACTTAGCCTAATGCTGATCGAGGAGAAGACTACAAGGTTGTTTTATGACTTGAAACAGAAGGTTGGGAAAAGTGCGGCAAGAACATTTTCCTTGCAATTAATGGATGGTTCCTGCATTTCAAGTTTCATGTGAATATGCACAACATGAAAGTGAGTGGAGATATGGGGATGTATTGAGTGCAGAACAAGGATGCAGAAGCCAGAGAGTTCCTGGAAACCCTCGAGATCATTGAGGATGGTGATTATTTGCCCAGAAAATACTTAGTATGGATAAAAAAGCACCTTATGGGAAGAAAATGCCAGACAGAACTTATATCAGCATGAAGACAATGCCAGACTTCAAAACTGTGAAAGATAAGCTGTGATGTTAGGCATCAGTGTCTCTGGTAATCTGAGTCTAAAACTGCTGCTAGTCTATCAGTCCAAGAACCCACAAGCTCTTAAGAACATCTGAAAGCTCACTTCTTGTGTGAAAAGCTAACAAGAAAGCTTGGGTCACCCCTCTCATCTTTGGAGGCTGGTTTTTCATCCCAGAGGTAGAGAGGTATTGCTGTGAGAAAAACATAACGCCCCAGATCATCCACCTTACCCAGAAAATTTCCACCCAAATATGAAGGTTGTCCATCTGTCTCCAAACATTACCTCTCTCCTGCAGCCTATCTGCTATAGCATAATTTATGAGGAAGGAAGGAAGGTCACTACCCAGTGACCTTCTTGGTCCACTTCACTGGACCTCTTCATCAGGAAGGTGGGGAAATGTGGCATATTGGTTCTGGAGAATGAATCAACTCCATCAACTGTCAGGTTTTATTCCAATGCTGTTGCTTATTTAAGGTAAAAACTCTGCTGCGCATGTTTTTTACACTAGTTTGGATTTGTAGACAAAACAGACTTGCAACAGCCTCTGGTGCAGTAAATGTTTGTAACGACATGACCTGATAATTTTTAAAAATCCAAAAGTGTCACATTTCTATGCATATTTCCTATATTTCACAGAAGACTGTATGTGTTAGAGAAAAATGGTTCATGTGAGATGGAAAGATTTGATTAGCATCTAGCATTACTTTTTAAGGATATAAACATTTCATTAAACTAGGGACAGAACATTCCAGAGAATTCTGGAATATTCTGTTTTTCATCTGTTTGTGCCATTCTGAAAGGGTTCAAGATTTGCTCTGAATCGGTTCCATAGAAGTGGTGTACCAACAAAATGACCTAAACCAACTTTGGAATATCTTACACAATTTCAATTTGAGGACTTATTTTCAGAAACCAGCAAATCACTTCCAGAATGCCATAATTTGGGAGGAGCTCAAATTTAGGAAGCTCTAAAGTCCTCCTGAACATTTTATTCTGGAACCATCAAAATCTGTACATCCTAATTACTGCTGATTGTTAGAAGATTTTTAGTAGCAGGTATATTTATTGTTTAAAGAAAATCTCTCCTATTCACTGTCTTTCTATTTTATTGTATCTTCCTTTCTAAGGCAGTATTATTTATTACAAATTGTTTAATACATTCACGCTCAGATCTAGTTTATTTCAGTATTACTGCTCCCATACAGTTTGATAATAAACAGAAACAGACTACAATATATAAACATTATATTTAATCGAAGTGACATTCAGCAGTATTGGGGTGGGGGAATTATATGCCTCAAGGAACCATTGTCCCCCTCATTTGCATTCTGGAATCACCCAAGTATTACATTAAGAACACCTACCTTTTATGACAGAAAATTGCTTAAGAACAATGCTCCAAAAGCCAATTAGATGAAGATTACACCAGTGCTTTAGACACCTCAAGGATAAGATGTGAAAACTCAAAATGTCTCACATGGCTGACCTTGATAAATTTCACCACCTGCCAGATTATTTGCAGTCATACCCACATCTGGATAACCATGCACTAAATGGAAGAGCACTGAGTTGACTGCTAAGGAAAAATAACAAAAGAAAATATCCCATGTATACACAAGCTCTGATCTTTATTTTACACACTGAAAATAAAGTGCTTTTTCCATAGTAAATAGATTTCAGAGTCACTTAAAGGTTAATGCCTGCAATGCAAACAGCAATCAAGCAGTAAGCCACTTTCTCAGCACGTGGTATCCTGAGCTTATGTTATGTCAATATTTTTTAAAGGGCAAGCAGACTGACCCCATGGAATTGTACTCTAGTTATCCTACTATCAAGTCCCATCGAGGGCAAAAATAATAGAAAGGTACATGTAAGCCTAAAAAAAGAGAAAGGAATAGGAGTATCATTTTCTTAATTTTATTCACCTATCAGTTTTGATTAATGAGAAAAAAATATTTTAAGTGACACACTCTAAACCAATAATCAACCAAGGACAACTCTTCCAATTTTCCAATATATTCTGTACATTTTAATATATAAAGGCATGTATAGAAAATATTGATAGGTAAAGTATATGAGCAGAA